TACTACTACAATTATAGTACAACGATGTCTATATTGGATTCTTATAACTTTAATTTGGTGGTGTTTGATTGGTTTGTTATTTTTCTTCCAATGTCAGGGAAGTTGCATACAAGACAAAAGAGCTCAAACAGGTTGCTTTTGAAGGTTTATTCGATCAACTGCTACAATCCTACAAGAATATTATTTCTCATTAATTCAAGTAAGAGTGAATTATATCTCAATCTCAATTTTTATGTTTAGTTTTAATTCCTTCTGCGGTGTTGTGTTATTTTTATTTTAATTTTCAATCTACAATGCAGGTTTAATTTTATAAAAACTTAAGCATTGCTAATTTATCTATTACATGTATATGAGTTGTTTGATTAAAAATTTGAGACTATTTTGAAAGATTTTATGTGCATTCTTGAATTGTCTATAATAATATACTTATCATCTGAACATAAGAATTTTAAGTAATATGTGCATCATTTTATTTTTGTTGAGTAATATGTGATGCAATTAAATATAATTTTGGTGAGCCAAAAATTTATGATAGTTCTATTATTCATTAGTTACATAACAGTATTGAATTATGGAGGAAGATAGAGTTTGGATGTATATAGCTAGACGATTGCCTGAGTTTGAAAGTGGAGTGATTAATTTTCTTAATGCATCATTTTCTAAGGAAGCTCGAGGGAGTCAAATTAGATGTCCATGTAAGAGGTGTAAAAACCGTTATTGGTATCGTAGAAATGAAGTGTTTGATCACTTGAAAGTCGAGGGCTTTGTTGATAACTACTATGTTTGGACTTTTCATGGGGAGGAGCCACTGCCAAATAAACCCAATAATGTTTCAAATGAAAACCACTCGGGCATGCATGACAATTTTAATTTTAATGAATTCTTGCATGATCATTTTGGAGAAAATATAAATGACACAAATAGAGTACAAGGACCAAACAAGGATGCTAAAAAATTTTATAAATTAGTAGAGGAAGGCAGGCAAGAGTTGTTTCCTGGGTGTAAGACTTTTTCTAAGTTATCTTTCATAATCAGGCTTCTTCTCTACAAGTCCCTACATGGCTTAGTAATGTGGCAATTGATGACCTTATTAAATTTTTTAAAGAGTTCATACCAGAGGCTAAACTTCCTGCAAACTTTAATGGAGCAAAAAGTATTGTGAGAGATTTGGGGCTCGATTATGAAAAAATATATGCATGTCCCAACGATTGTATGTTGTATTGGAAAGAGCATGAAAATGATGAAGAATGTCATGTATGCCATGCCTCTAAGTGGAAAAAAGAAGATGAACACCATGAAAATGGAAGCATAAAGCCTTCTAAGAAAAAATCTCGAATTCCAGCCAAGGTCTTATGGCACTTTTCCATTGAAACCTAGGCTTCAATGACTGTATATGTGTTTAGATATAGCTAAAAACATGAGATGGCATTTTGAAGGGCGTCTTAAAGATGTAGATATGCGACATCTTGCTGATGGATTGGCATGGAAACAATCTGATGAAAATTATCCTCATTTTGCAAAAGAGCATAGAAATGTCAGGTTAGGTTTGGCTAGTGACGGATTCAATCCTTTTCGAACAATGAGTATTTCACATAGTACATGGCCAGTGGTTCTTATTAATTATAATTTGCCACCTTGGATGTTTATGAAGCAAGAGTACCTAATGTTGTCCCTGTTAACTCCTGGTCCAAAATCTCCGGGCAATAACATTGATGTATATATGTAGCCCTTAATCGAGGAGCTCAAAGATTTGTGGAATGATGGAATTCAGACATATGATAAATCTAAAAATCAAACATTTCAAATGCATGTTGCCTTGATGTGGACAATAAGTGATTTTCGCTATCAGGGTGGAAAACTAAGGGAAAATATGCATGTCCTTGTTGTAATCATGAAACTTTCCATTATTCCTTAAAAAATAGTAAGAAATTATGTTATATGGACACTCGAAGATTTTTAGATGAAACCCACCCTTGGCGGAGTGACAAGAAGGCCTTTAATGGGAAAGTTCAGAAGAGGCCTCCTCCAAAACCTTTAACAGGGGTCGAGGTGTACAGGGAATTGTATGATTTTGTAAACTCATTTGGGAAAACCCAGAAGAAGAGAAATGATCCGAAATTTCATTGGAAGAAAAGGCCAATTTTATTTGATTTGCCATTTTGGCAGCATAATTTATGTCCTCACAATCTCGATATGATGCATATAGAGAAAAATATTTTTGATAATGTGATTGAGACTTTGTTGGATATTAAGGGAAGTCTAAGGATCATGTAAAAGGTAGATTTGATCTTTTAGAGTTAGGATTCAAGAAAGAATTGCATTCACAACTTTCAGCTGATGGTAAGCATGTTTTATATAAAAAAAAGCATGTTTTTCTATGTCTTCTAAGGAAAAAGATATTTTTTGTCAAGCCTTAAAGCTAGCAAAGCTACCCCATGGTTGTGCATATAATATAGCTCGTTGTGTGTGATATTTTGAAAGAAAAGTCAATGGTTATAAAAGTCATGAAGCACACATCATATTACACTATCTGCTTCAAGTTGTTGTCAGAAGACCTTCAGCAGTTGCATAATAAAATAGTTGAAACAATTTGTGATTTTGAGAGGATTTTTGTACCATCATTTTTTAACATTATGGTGCATCTCCCTGTCCACTTAATAGATCAAATCAAACTTGGTGGTCCACTACATGGGAGAATTATGTACTTCACAGAGAGATTTTTGAAAAGGTTGAAGTCATATGTTCGTAATCGAAGCCATCCAGAGGGATCTATTGCAGAAGGATATTGGTCAGATGAATGTTTGGTATTTCTTTCACGATATATGGATGATGGAGTAAAGACTAGATTGCATAAATTTCCAGATGACTCCGATGTTCAGTTAAATAATGTTGATTCAGATGTTCATATTTTTAGTAATGAGGGTCATCCATTAGGTGGGAAAAAATGAAGGAAAGGCAAGTTATTCACTTTAGATGCTCAATCTATTGAAAAAGCACATCGATTTGCGCTTTTTAATTCAAACAATGAAGATGTTAAGGAGTATATCTAGTGAGTTATTGTCCTTAATTAAGCAATCTAATAACATTTTTATCATATATATAATGCTTGTTTTTAACTTAAAAAAGTTCTTTTGTTTTTTAATACATTAATTATGCAGTGAACATGAAGTCTATATCAATTGTCAATCAAGAAAAAACAAATGGGCTCAGGCACAAAACCATAGCAATGAATTTGCCATGTGGTTAAAAGACAAAGTACTAACTACTAATGTCCCTGATCATATATTTTGGTTGGCTAAAGGTCCTAGTGCTACAGCAAGAAGATATACAGGGTATTATGCTAATGGGTATAGATTTTACACCAAATCACGTGATGCTAGATGCAAGACTCAAAATAGTGGTGTTAGTTTGACAGCATTAACTCCTAGATTTGCAAGTACTAGGGACAAAAATCCAATCATGGGAAATGTTACTTATTATGGTTCCATATTAGAAATAATTGAGCTAAATTATTGGTCAAAGTTTCATGTTGTTTTGTTTCGATGTGAGTGGTATTAGGTTGAAAAAGATGATTATGGACTTCTTTGTGTGAACATAAATAAGTTTTGTTCGGTGGATGATCCTTTTGTTATACCTTCTCAAGTGCATCAAGTTTGGTATGCTCCAGACCCTATAAAACATGGGTTAAATTATGTTATGAATGCAATCCCGAGAGATTTTTTTGATCACAAGGGAAATGGTGTTGATGCTGAATATTCATATTGGAGTGAGCCTTGTGAAAACAGTCTTGATTGTTTAGAAAAATCCGGAGATGAAAATAATAATTTGTCAAGGGAGGATTTAGCACCCACAGTGATGAATGCAAAAGCAACTTTAGCTAATCTTGATGATTTATGTGAGGAATTTCATGATAATTCAGATTACGATGACACATTATGGGATTGGATGTGAGCCGAAGATGACGATGAGGATGTTGATGAGTAGTATACCATGTTTATTCATTCAATTGTAAATATATATGTATATATATTGTTTTTCTAGAAGGTAAGGACATTAAATTCTTAGTATTCAACTTGAAAATGTCTATGTTGAGGTTTATGTGTTTTTTAATTTATTTAACTACTGTCGTTTGACTTGAATGGCTAAAGTTAGAACATTATAGATTAAGACTTAATATAAATTCTAATTATATTGAATTTGGTTACTTGTACAGATTTGGAATGGGAAGAAGAAGCAAGTAGCACTCCATAGAGACAAATATGAACCCGTACAAAAGGAGTAGAATGTCAAGAGTTCAAGAAAATAAAGCAAGATTGATGCAATCCGGAAAAAAGGATATTGTCAAGTCATTGACAAGTTTAGTGGATAAAGGAAATAACAAAAAAAGGGAAAAAAGAGTAGAGTCCTTTCATAATGAGGAAGACGAAGACTATATCCCTGATTAAGATTTGATTGGTGAAGAAAGCCAAGAAGAAGAAAGTGCAACAAGAGTTGCAACTCCCAAAAAGGTGGTAAGAAGTTTTTATAAAAGTTACTAAATTTTGTTTGTATTGTATGTTTTATTTTTATTTAGAATACAATTACTAGTGACTTATGTCCAATTATCTTATCATGTCACTAAGGGAAAAGTTCAACCCCACCAGTATTTGCCACCTATGATGATGAAGAAATATGCAACATTGACCAGACAACAAAAACAAGGGATCGTGGTAGGAACAAAGCCCCTAGCGTAGCAGAATTGATTTTAAAGAACAAGCATTCAAAAAATCAATTTCATGAAGAACTCTCATAAGAGAATTCAACACAGAAGGATTTTAGTACACATCAGCAAATGTTAGAAAATGTAAATCAATTATTAAATCCAGGTAATAAAATTTGTCAAGAGTTTCATTATTTTGTAAGTGTAAACTTAGCCTAACTCATTGGTTTCATTTTTTCCATGGCTTAAACTGAGTAAAAAGTTGGTGCGAATGAGAGTGACGGATATGGCCATGTAATTGGAGTTGAAAGTGAAACGAAACAAGAAATGGAAGGTGAATGTGAAACTGAAGGAAGTGACAACCTTGAAGATAACAATGATGATTGTCCTGACATCTTATCTCGATCTGGAGTTAACATAAATGAAGCTGACAATAGCATAACAGAATATCGTGTCCTGAATAGTAAGTTACAATCAAAAGGTTAATTTCTTTTAATAATTGTCATGTAATTTATTGCAAATTTAACTTTTATATTCTATGAACTATTATAAATATAGGTACTACAGATGTGAACAAAAGAGGACCTACTATGATGCATAAAGTGCACATGCGACCATTTGAAAATCGTGAAGCTATTATTTTGAATGAGTTTGGGCAGCCTATTAGACCAGTTACATCTAAAAAAGATACACTGAGCGAATTTTCTCGATTTTTAGATACAATTGCTCGTGATTATGGTTATGCGCCATTGATATATAACTCTTGGCATTATGTGACCAACAAAGAAAAGATGTGGGAGTATGTTTTGGTAAGTTAATTGATATGGGTTAATGCACACTAATAATCTTTACTAAACTAAAATTATCAAATTCATATCTAATTTTTTTAAAGTTTTTCAGACAAAGTACATTGTTCCAGAAGAAGGTAAAGATTGGGTGTTAAAAACCATCGGTGCTGCATGGAGAATACACAAGTGTCGATTCAAGAAAAAATACTTCTATAAGTATAAGGACAACAAAACCAGATGGAAGAATCGACCTAAACGTGTTCCAGATGATGATTTCAAACTACTGTTAGTTTTATGAAACAAAAAAAAAAAAAAAAAGAGCAGGTAGCTATTTTATAAAGCTAAGTAGTTTACATCACTAATAACATAATCCTTGCAAGTAATACTTTACTTTCAATCTGTATACAGAACGCTCTTCTTCTAATCAAATACGACGCAATTCTCAAAAGAATATGCATAATGCAGGTCAAAAAGTTTTGCTATAGGATTCAAGAAGAAATGGTAGAATATATATCACCTCAGTTGCCGTCTTTTTTAATAATTTAAGTTTTATTGTTAAAAGTTAGTTCGTTCATTGTAACTTATTAAACATTACCTCATTTCTTTTGTTTGGCTTCGGATAGAAAAATGAGGATCCTAATAAGCAATATCCTTCCTTAGCTCAACTATTTGAGCGCACTCGTAAGAGAGATGAAAACAAAACATATGTTGTACGTATGAAGATACAGCAAAAAAAAAATTGTAAGTGTATTGGTTTTAAATTTATTACTTATACATTTATGCATTCAAATTTAATGTATAACTGACAACAAGTATATTTATGTTATTATTATATAACTATATAGGATGCTATGAAGAACTATACATCCCCTGAAAATGGAAGTGGCATTAAGGATGCTTATTTAGCTGTTATGGGCAAGGAATATGCTGGGCGTCGACGACTTTATGGTAAAGGGGTTACCAATAAAGTTTTGAAGAAGACTTCACCTTCTGTGGCAACATATGTTGTGCCAGGTGAGGTTATAGATTCTTTAAGAGCTGAAGTTATTGAAACAGAAAAATTGCAGCTAGTTGATATGAGAAAGGAGCTTGAAGAAGAGTATGAGAAACAGAAGACAGAGCTTGAAGCAGAGCATGCAAAGAAAATGGAAGAGTTTGAAAAACAGAAGGAGACAATGGTTGAAGAAATTCAAGAGAAGATCATGTCAAAACTGCCACCAAGTGTTGTTAAACAATTTCTAACCTAATGGTTCAATATAAAAGGTATGTATCTGGTTGTCTGATGCCCTTTTTCACATATTTTGTACTTTTTACATAAGAAAAAAAAAGAAAAAAAAACCCTTGTATAAATCGATAATAAGAGGAAAATATATACAGTCCCTTATTTTAAAGTATTTAACTATATCAAATTAAATTAAGTCTTAGAAATTCAAGTTTTATATACAGTTAATGCACATATTAGCTAGAAATAATAATGAATGTTAATCAAGTATTAGATCATTAAATGCTTACAAAAAAAAAGTATTAGATCATTAAATATTATATTTTATTATAATTTTGTTATTAGGTACTTCTGTGAAGTACTTACCTTCAAGTGTTACTTATGTTTCTAATTATTCTTACATTATGTGTGGAGGACTTACATTTAATATTTTATGTCTGGAAATTATACTCTTTAGCCTTTATTGTAACCTGGTAGTAAGATTACATAAAAAAGGATTAAAAGTGTTTATCCTAGGAACACATTTATTATAGTAAGTGGAATGCTTAATTTGATATAACTAGAGGGGCAAATTCTTATCTAAGGATTTTGTTTCTAACTTTGTAACAATTATATTGATTCTATCCTTAAATTTTATTTATTTATTTTCATAGGTGCCCTTTGCTATTGTGGTGTTGGACTTTTGATTAAAATGGAGTACATTAGAAAAATGATTATTGTTGTATATCCCTTTGGTACTACTTTTGCTAAATAATTGTGATGTACCATTTTGGACTTTTGCTAAAGAATTGTAATTGTACCGTTTTGGACAATTATTACATATGTTTATAGTATGAAAAGTTATGCAAAAGGCTTTTATGCAGTATATTAGAGAATTTCAGTTAACAATTATATTTTGTATGCGTGTGTAAGCAAAATAATTTTAGCTTTCATTAGAATATCAAAATTAAATTCCAATTTAAAAGTGTTGCTTTTGAATTTGCAAAGTGTTGCAAATTTATGGAGGGAAACTTTGAGTAAGTGATGCAATAGATAATAAAAACGTTGCATTTTTTCGAGGAAATTTTTTAATTAATGTTGCATTAGATATAGAAAAATGTTGCCATATAGTGATGTTGGCAAGTGTAAAAGTGTTGCACTAGGGTAACAAAAACGTTGCATTTGTAAAGCATTGCACTTGGGAAAACATGCAACGCTTTTCTAAAGTGTTGCATTTGATTTCAAAAACTGTTGCATTAGTCTAATGCAACGGGACTTAAGGCAGCACTAGATAAAACGTTGCTTTTAGCTTTAAGCAACATTTTTATACCCTAACGCAACATCTTTTCAGTGTTGCAATAGGTTCTTTTTGTAGTAGTGATATGATTTGGTTGCATTTGCACTTGGTGTAAGACCACGCACATGTATGAGTTTCGATGCATTGTCTGTTTCTAGGTGCGAATTTATTCGAGATGCACAAAATGCACATGATACCTCCTACAATATTTGTGTCTGGAGCTCAAACTATCTCCATACAAACTTCATTTATAAGTGTGTTGAACTGTCCATTATATTGAGCCACAAACTTGTTCATATCGGCTAGACTCAATGATAGCTCATTGAGGGTCAATAAAGGACTGGCCAAAGATAAAATATAATTATCAAAGAATTTTACAAGAAGGAAAAATTATAATAAAATTTGAATAAAATAATCACTTATTACTCAACTTATAGTGTTGAAAATTGTAACAAGTTTCATAAGATCCTAAGGTTATGCAACAATTTTCTTGATTAGAACCCAAGATTATTGTATTCTATCATAACATTTTTTTATTCACAACTTTATATTGATATAAAGTAAGAAGGAAGTTATTAGTCAAATATTAGTATACATTTTTATCAAGTGTATTAATAATGATCATAAGTCTGAAATAATATACCTTGAAATTGTTGCTAACCACCTCACAATAAACATTCTCCCACCTTTGATCCATGTCATTGTAAAAAATCCAGGCCGAGGAGACTAGTCCCCCGATAGCAAGGTGGGGGAATTTCAATCTAAACCATGTGACTAGTGTTTCGGGGTTTTCTGATGTCCTGCGGGAGAGTTACAATTCCGAGACTGGAACCGGACGCCTGTACCTGCAAAACAAACGGATGCTCCGGACGATTGGAGATCCGCCTCCGACGGTCAAGTTAGTACTTGATTAAGGAGTAATTAATGCGGAAATAAAAGTAATTGAGTCTCTCTAGGTGAGAGTGTTAAATGTGCGTAATCCCTCTTAATGAGGATTAATGGGCATATTTATATGCCTTGGATGCGTGCCAGTACTAGGTTTAGGTTAAACCTAAGGCTGACTGGGCCTCCCACAAAGATTGGGCCTTGTTGGTCGGTTTTCCCATTTGGCATGGGTGGACACGTGTCACATTGCAATTGGTCCAAGGAGGACGAATCTCTTGATGACACGTGGCAGGCTCCTATTGGCCTACATGAAGGACACGTGGCGAAACCTGGCTGGCCTACGTGTCGGATGCTGATTGGTGGATAAAAATCCCCTAATCATTTGCCCCTCACAGGTGGCACGTGACTGGTCACGTGTTACCTGTGACAGGTGTCGCACCGTGACAGGCGACGGCCTGCTACAGGTGTCACTCGGCGAAAGGCCGAGAGATTCTCCCGCCCAAATTTTGAATTTTGGAAGTGACCCTTCGCCTTCTCACTTCGCCTATATAAGGGTGTGTTGACTTCAGTCATTTTCACACTTGAGAACTTTTTAGAGAGAACATTCGGACCCCTGAACTTGCTCTGACATTCCGGACTCTTTTTGCCTACCGCCTGTTCTGACAAGCCGGCTACTCAGGATTTTCAGAACTCCGTCAACTTCACTCATTCAGGTAACCGTCGGTTCTCTTACTCTTAATTTTCTCTTTATTTTATTCTTTTTTGAAATGGCACCACGGAAGCATACGACACGACCTAGGTTAGTGATCAGCCGGTCACCGGGGACGGCTGAATCTTGGACTAGGAGTGTCGCCTGCCCTTTTCCGGACCCATCTTTGCCCTTTATACAAAGTCCGACTGTCTTTGTGTCTATGCAGAACATGATGGCCAGAACAAAAAGAACTGCTAGGATCTCGAACTCAGACGGCTCCTCCTACAGGGTGCCGATTAGTGAAACATCTGACCAGGCGCCAGATGTGGAAGTGAACCAAGGCGGCTTGACAGTCGACAGTTCTGAGGGAGGGGTCAAGGTGAACCCTTCCCATTTTACAGTTGACATGTCTACATTCTCTCCTACTCCTTTTGAAGGAGAGAAGGCGGGCCCCTCTGGGAGAGGGGAGGAGTCGTCCTCTTCGGACTCGTCAGAGGACGAATCCGAGTCTAGCTCTTCTGGTCATGCTTCTCTAGACACAGAAGAGAAAAACAACCGCCTACAAGAGGCGAGGCTTTCTCACGCAGTTGAGAAGGGGGACAATTGGACGGAACCATCCGCCTCTTACCAAGAGCAAAATACCCCTTACTACTGCACTGTCCCACGGGGCCGGATCACGGCCATGCAAGAGAGAGTGGGGAGCTTTATTGCGAACCACACAATGGGCCCCGACTTTTTAGTTTTTGTGCCGGATCCAGAAGACACAGTCGTCTAGCCGGCTGGTACTAGTTATGATAGCGCCTGCTTTGGCTGCTACGAGGCGGCCATCAGGGCTGGGCTGCGCTTCCCACTACATCCGGCTGTTCAGCGGATCTTGGATGGGTATGAGTTGGGGTTATGGCAGTTAGCCCAAAACTCCTGGGTCAACGTACTCGGCTATGTGGCCGGGTGCGAACTGCACGGGGTGGAGCCAACCTTCGAGGCTTTCGCCCACATGAACTACCTCACCCGGACCCCTAAGGAAGGCGGTACCGGCTGGTATCAATTGACGAGCCACAGAGGCTACCTCATGACAAGAGGTAAAGCAAACAAGTGGAAGGATTGGCGAAGCACCTTCCTTATCATTACAAGTTCAGACACAGAGCTGAACAAGCGCTTCAACAGGTGGAACAGGAATCCGCCTCTTCTTGCAGGTGGCCGGAGCATGCC